ATGTGATTTTATTTATCCCAATAGTAGTTAAACATTTTATAGCTATTTTACTATAAATGAATATTATTCTTGCCAAGTCATGATTTTGTTTATCATTAGGAGCAGAATTAATTCATCAATCTTAAAATTGCTTTTAAAACCTAATCTTTCTAAACCACAATTAGATATCACTTTACACATGTTAGGATGGCTATTATCAAGAAGTAAAAAGATCACAAGTGTTGGCAAGGATGTGAAGAGAAGGGAACCTGGGAACTTTTATGTACTATTGGCGAAAATGTAAATTGGCACAGTCATTATGGAAAAAAGTATGGAGGTTCCTCAAAAAATTCAAAATAGAAGTACTGTATGATCCAGCGATCCTACTTCTGGGTATATACACAATGGTAATAAAATCACTATCTTGAAAAGATGTATGCACTCCCATGTTCATTGCAGCATTATTCAGTAGCCAAGACATAAAATCAACCCGTGTCCATTGACAGATAAATGAATAAAGAAAATGTGGTAAACACACACAAACACACACACATGCACACACACATACAACGTTTCAGCCTACATAAAACATATCCTGCCATTTGTGACAACATGGCAGAATATTATCCTAAGTGAAATAAGACAGACGCAGAAAGACAAATTCTTATATGCGAAATCTAAAAAAGTATAATTCATAGAAGCAGAAAAAGAAGAGTAGTTACCAGGGATTGGGGGTGAAGTGGGGGAAATGGGGAGATGTTGATCAAAGGGTACAAATTCCAGCTATAAGATGAGTAAGTTCTGGAGACCTAATGTATTTCACTAACCATATAACTATGGTTAGTAATAATGTATACTTAAAAATACCTAAGAGAGTAGATGCTAAGTATTCACCACACACAAGAAAAAATGGTAACTCTGTTAATTAGCTTGGTTGTGGCCACCATTTCCAAATATATATCAGAACATGTTGTACACCTTAAGTATATGCAATTTTTGTCAATTTTACCTTACTAAAGTTGGAAAAAACTAATTGTTCTGTAATTATTGATTAAGCAGTTATAATGCTTTTTCTAGGGTAACAAGGAGGAATTTTTGTTTCTTCTTCTCATACTTTCCAGCATAGATGACATTAGTTTTGAACTTGGATCCTTGAAACTGCTTTTTCTCTTTAGGGATAAACTTACCTATAACATTAAAACAATGTAAACTATGCCTACTATATTTATGTCAATATCATCAATTTGCATTGAAAAACTTTAATCAGTCTGTCAGTCACAATGAACACTTTTTAGTTTAAATTCTACTTGAACCTCAAATAAATTCCATTTATGTTTACTTTGACAGACAAGAATATCATTGGAGCGTTTGGAAGACTTTCTCAATGA